CACAATCAACCTACTTAATCTCCCACTGCTCTTAAAGGAAGAGGAAACCGATCTGGGCTCCATTCTACAGACAAACCACACAAGAGTACATGGGCTTCATCTTAAAATGGACCTACACATTAAATTACACTCAAGCACTGGAAGCACAGATGGCCTAAATGCAGCCCTTCTCTTCTTTTATTCACAAGGGGAAAAAAAGGAGGGAGAGATAGAGGGAACTGTTTTCATAACGGACAGTGTCGCCACCCTTGCGGCCCTGAGACTTGGAGAGTGAGCTCTGAGCCCCTAAAATGTAAGGCATTAGCATCAGAATGAGGCTAAATACCCCTCCTGCAATAAAACCCCAACAAAAGAACTTCCAGCAATTTCAGCAGTGATGATAAACCCAAGCCTGAGACAGCCATCGCTCTGTGAGAGGGACAAGACCTTACTGTACGCCCTCCCCTCGTACTGTTGGGAGGCTTCTGCAGGCATGAGTGCACTAATAAAGTACACACCCAATGTCTGCCCACTGCCGCCTTGCTTTTAGGACCCCACAGTGAGAGTCCCACCTGTCTGTCTAGAGACAATGGCAGCGGTAATACAATATATCTGTGTGTGTGTCGCTCTGTGCCAGGAGAAAAGCTGAAGGAGTGGACAGATAAATGACTTGCACACTTGGACCACAGCCAGGCCCCTGTCCCACCTCAGGAAACCTTGTAGATTGAACCTGTAGCCAGACCGAGCAGAAGACAGAGCCCTGATTCAGTATTTAGCAGGAGAAAGATAGAGAGAGATACGGCCTATAAAGAGAGAATGAGATGGAAAGAGTGAAGAGAAACAGAAAGAATGAGAAAGTTGTAATTTTTTACTGAAATGTTTCCATAGGTGACTTCGCACCTGGTCTAAATTCTGACTTAAGATACAAGCTGTACTAAAATGAGAGTTGTGCAAAACTCAGGGTTGAATAATTGGTCCCTTTCAATTTTTTTTTATTTGATTCAATAGCATGTATTTTAATTGTAACATTCAAATTCAATTCTGCAACCTGATTACTACCTCAAACACATTTATTCTATTTTGAAAATGCATCCATTTCATTTTGAATGGTGCACTAACTAAAAAACAAAATATTATAAAAATGATCTGCAGCATAACAGCCTTAAACCTCTTTTGTTGTTGTGACATGAAAATGTATATAGTCTTTCATTATATTTAAAATATATATTAACAAAAACGAATTTCATAAAATTGTTTCAGCAATTTTAAATTCGGTCTAAATGCATTTATTCTTCATTTCTGCGGCTTTAAACAGTATGTGTGAACATATCTTTTCATTGTACGCTGCTTGAGATGCAGCTTCTGTTCTGTTCTTGCAGTGTAAAGATGGCACATGTTGGCTTTGATTACTTTGCCATGATAACACAAACACACAAAGACAGGCTGAGAAATCTTCCTACATGTTTGCTCTTTCAATCTAGAGGTCCTCTTTCAGCCAGCTGTGTACACGTCTCAGAGACTGAGACTCTTTCCTCAGGAAATCATGAACCATGAGAACAGAGGTGAGTGAAGAAAAAGGGAGAAAATACTGGAGAAGTCAGGATGAAAGTGAGGATAAAGGACAACACTAATAACAGACAACGAACAGATGAAAAACAAAATGAGCAGTGGATCCATGAAGCACGAAAGACATCACTAATTGCCCTAATTGTATCCTTTGCTTCTACACGGCCCACTACTGTCACACTCGCCTGACACCTGGGAATGATTGACAGGTGGGCAGGTGTGGTGCTGAGTAGTGGCTCGGTCGAGCAGCACTTCAATTGTCCCAAATGTGTCTTTGATCTCCCCTGCGTAGACCAAAAACACAGCAGGGAGTCACAGCCAGCCCTCGGGGCTAAAGCCAGTACAGACACTATAGAGCAGAGGTGGGTCCGTTATGTGAAAAGATCGCACACTCTGTTGAGAACTCCCTGAGGCTCATACACAGCACTGAATCCTGTCAGATCTCATAACCTTCCTCTTTGATAAACTGAAACAACAGCCACCTTCCTTATTATTCACTCATTCACACCACACCTCCATAACTGTACACACTGCAACACAAATGCAAAAACAAAACAATCTCTTGTTACATCAGCCGTGTCTTCTTAACAAGATAAATCCACATAGCATTAGTCAACCTGAGGTTTGTAAAGCCTCATTATAGTCTGGTTCTCTTCCACATTCTACCACTTTTATTCAATGTAATGCAATAAATTGCCTATTCTCATAGACTGATGTACACATAATATATTGTTAAATGACACAAATATTACAGTTAACCTAAAATAAAAAAAAAATAAAAAAGTGGCCTAGATGCATTACATACGACATACTGACCTGTATCATAAAAGCAAATTAAACTGATTAATACTCTGAAGCATGAGCATAAATACTAGAGCACACTTAACACTGATCAAACAACAATAAAACATGAGAAACCGAAAGGTGCACTCAGTTCCTTCATCTTTGTGTGTTTTTAAAAATGCACTGCCTTATAAGTCTCAGAAAACGTATGCTCCCTATATTTTTGAAGTTATTGATTTATTTTTGCACTGCAAGGCAGGTGGTCATTATTATTATTGTTATTATTATTATTATTTAATTATTTTATTCCCTACTCTCATTTTGTATCATTATTATTAACAGTGACCTGGTAAGGTGTAAACAATTTCTCTCTTTCTCATTCTTTTGTACATAAATGTACAGAAGACCTTTATATACACAGGCACACACATATCTCTCATGGATCGTTCCTACAGCTCATCCTGTGTGTGTGTGTGTGTTTTAAATAAATACTTAATTTCATATATAATTGTCTACTTCATAAAAAAACTATTTCAGATAATGTTCAATTTCAGTTTAAATCAAATTATTAGTCACCCATATGCTTTGAGTTGGTATAAATAAGAGGACAATTTACTCTGCATTGAATAATAATAATAATAATAATAATAATAATAAAATATACAACTAATTACAAATATACAGTGTAACGTTTCAAACTCAAAATAAGAACTGCACTGAACTAAAGACATATTAAAGATGAACATTCATCTGTTTTTTTTTAAGTACATGAACATCTCTTTAGATTTTCTATTTATTAATTGTGTTATTTGTTCTTTTTAAAGAGAATAAATGAAAAAGAGGGGACTTTTACTGAAAAGTAGAAAATTACATTTGAATGAGAACTGGATTGGAACATTCCGTTTTTTATTTTATTTTATTTTTTTATTTATTGATCACGTATCCAGCCATCAATTATTATTATTATTATTATTATTATTATCAAAGGTAAAACAGGTAAAGGAAAAATGAAACGATTAAAATAGCTGTGTCTCATGGCTCTCTGGTTTAAACGGCAATTTTGCCATATCTGAAATGTGTTTTTATTCTTCTGTATCGATATCCTGATGTTAACATAACACATAGGCTATATAGACATAAAACATTACGTTGTTTAATAACGTTCAACGATATACCACTGCCAAAAAAAAAAATAAATATTGTGAAGCAATTAGGTTCTCATAATTACATTTACGTTATAATTAAATTATAGTATAGGCTACTGGCCTTTAAAATGTAGTCGATAAATTAGTTTGACGAAAAAAAATATATATACATAAATAAATAAGAACTGCATTCGTCCTGGAGCAAAATTTAACGGGTAAATCAAATAACTGTAATTTCAAACACCGATGACAAATGTCACAATTGAGAGGGGGTCCGTGTCAATAGTGTCACTTAAAACTGCGCGCGGTCTGTCACTGAAGAATCCGGAAGCTGACGGGATGTTCAAACAAAGCGCCTATCTCGGGTGCTCAACGAGAGAGCACAGATTGAGAGGGGCGAGAACCCTCTGCCGCTCCCGGACTGTTTGCAAGGGTCATTTAGCATCGCGATCTTGTAAATATTGGGGAATTTAGCCAGCTATAAAATCCGGGGAGGAGGCGGCGTGGGGCGAGAGGATGCAAGCCTCGAATGAACAGATCCTGCGTTTCAGGAAGTGCAATGGTGTGTTAAATTAAATGCAGCTGGTGAAAAAGCAGGACATATATTTTATTTTAAATGGTGATAGATTGATAGTTATTATTTTTAGTTTTATGTAGCTTTTATTTTTTAATGCCCACTATTCATCATTGACATTCCCTTAAACGGTTTATAAAAAGTGGATGAATAATTAACAAGAATCAATATTAAAATTATAACAATATAATAGCTCGATAACAGGATATTTTATGCTTTTGTTGGTGAGGACAAAATCATGTTAAAAGGCGACGATAAGAAATCCAGAGGCAATGCCACGTTTCGTTTGTGCAGCGCAAAATTAATACAAGTAGGCTAATTTATACTTTTAAAATTACGAAATGTATATATTTACAGTCCGGCTAAAACCAAAATCTCCAGGTAACATTAAATATATAGCTAAAAACCTATTAACTCAAAGAAAACGGGTTAGCCTACATGAAAAGTTTTCCATATGAGACAGGAACGGTGAACCAATCCATTTGTACAAACGCAGAAAGAAAGGGGCTTCTAAAACGATCGATTGTTTAATTAAAGATGCTGAAGCCTGTCAACCAGCAGAATGATGAAGTCAGAAATGTGATTTACAGCGGAGCTGCATGTGTTTTAATGAGGCGCTCTGTAATTGCATTTGCATCCTGACGGAAGCGGTCTGACACGTTGAAGTTAAATATGTAACCGATTTTGGATTAACAATCACACGTTTAATGCACTCTGTCCGGAGAAGAAATCCATAGTCCATCAGCCAAAGAAATTCTGCCTCAAAACAGGATTATCGACTGGGCAAACTCAAAATTTAAATGAAAAATACGTATATAATTTTAAATTGTTAAAATGGTTGAATAAACTTAAAACAATACAGTACAATACTAATGAATCATCAAGACGGACACTCTTTCTTTTGGAAAACTGATGTATTTGATTATTAGAGTAAAGGATTACAGTATCGCAGTTGTTAGTAGGTAATAAACTGTAGAGAAACTGGGCCCTAAAAGATCTTCCAACTTTTCAAGAAAGTGCATGTAACAGTCCATATATATATATTTATATAATATTTATAAAAACACTATCATCATTTGTCCCCTGGCCGAGATGGACCTTGTCTTCGAGTAAGACTATGTACAATTGCTGTAAAGGAATTTGTTGCTCCACATCCGAAAAAAATACTTATAGGGCGCGTCAACACATGACCTGTAGTAGATGTCAAAGACGCTAGTAGCTACCTAGCAGCAGTTTGAAAGCCCAGCAAAACCTCAAAGATCACACAATGCATTTTCCCCTCCCTTTAAGTGTGTGGACCTCTTCATGTTGTTATCTAATAACCGTTTATGCTTTGCATCCTATAAGCACAAATAAAGAGTGAGAACTGAATGTAGTAAAAAAAACTAAGTGAAGAAGGTCTAAATAAACAGCTGAGGTGAAAACCTTTTTTTTTTTTTTTTACTTTTTTGTTCTTTTTAAACTTCTAAGACAGAGGGAAAAGGACTAACCTATGTCCCTGGATTTATGAAATGTTGATATTTCTCAGAGGAAAGTTTCTACACAGCTTGTAAACCATCTAGCACAGATAAGTGTACAGTATTTACAGCCTTACGTTGCACTGTTTAAGCTCTAAATCATTACATGAACATCAAGTTTTGTTAACACATATTACAGATAGAAAATAATTTAATGCCATGGTGAAGTCTTCTACCAAGAAAAGCTAAGTTTCAAAAGCACACTTTAAAACACTCATACAGATTCACTCTGTTGATAAAACATAAAATAACATAAAAACTAAGTAACTGTTAATATTTCCACTTGGTTTTTCGAGCAAGGTTATAATCACTAATAAATAAGCTCCATAAAACTATAACATGTTGTACATTGTACAAAAAAGCAAGTTCTTTTCAAACTCCTCTTCATAAAGTCTTAATGGCAAGCAAAAGCTGAAAGTTTTTTTCTTGCTTTTCATTCTTTCTTTCATGGACGCATATACTGGAGCATGTGTGTGTGCCAGTTAAAGAGTGTATTTTTGTTCATGAGCGCAACAAAAATGATTCTCTAGTTGGTCACTATCTCCTTGTCCTCCATGAAGCGTGTGAAGCGGAAGTGAGTCCCATTCTCGGTGTTGGCCATTTTTTCTAGGCCAGCCAGAGCAGAATTGGGCTCAGAGTTATGCAGCTTTTCCATGCTGCCTGTCAAACCTCCGATCGGAGAACTGCCCCCATTGCCTACACTCCCCGACAGTTGAGGGGGCAGGCCTCCATTCTGGATTACAGAGATCTCGTTGGTCTTCATGGCCAGGCCATTAGAGAAAGCAGCAGCATACTGATTCCAGAAGCTTGTTGGGTCTCCGTTTCCAGCCCTACCAGTTAAGTCCTTTTGAAAGAGCTCAGGGAACTTAACATGGTTGGTGCCAAGGAAAGCGATGGGACCATCTACTGAAAGCCTGCGACCACGCCGTGCAGGAGCACTGTTCCACATGTGGGTACCCATATGTACCTAGTGAGACAGAGAGAAATAAGGAAGTGGAAGCAAAAGGATTAAAGAGTATAAAAACAAAGGATCAGGAGAGCTACAATGTTAATAATTTGGAAACATTCAAATGAATAACACGTGAGATGATGCAATGGAAAAAGAGAAGTAGTATAATAATTAGTATTAAAATAGGCCCACTGGAAGCAGCATTAGTCTAATTATTAAAACAAGGGTAAAATGTTGTAACATTCACTCACTGAGAATGGTGGTCTGCATATGAAACAAAGGGCCTGTGGTAGATGTGTGTTCTGAGAAAATTGCACTGTCCACTCTCATTGTGCTGGACAGTATTGTATCTGACAGTTGCCCCCAGTTCACCCTTGAAGCATGTGATACATTCAGGGGAAAAAGTACCTTGTTTAATTGTTGCAACCCTTAGTGTAGCACTGAACATATGAGGTGTAAATTTATACCTCGATATTTTCACATCCTTATGCTACTTTTGCAGTTTACAAAGCTATTTAGTGATCCCCCATTCCCCATTTATATGATAATCTTTTCAAACTGATAGTGTTAAATGCATTGCTAATTCATTATTAGTTTTTTTTTTCACAAAACCAGTAAATTTACTAAATCAATATTTTATGCAGTGAAATCAGACTTATTAAAATGAATCTTCCATTTCATACTTCACTAAAAGAGCACATACTTATTTATTCAGAAAGGAATTTATAGTTTGACATTTACATACTTTCTGAAAATTATGCCTATAGCGAGTCACATTTCATACAAATTAGTGCAATCAAATATCCATATAAAACCCCCAGGATTCTGTTTATCTGTGTGCTAGGCTTTTTATTCATTGCGATCAAAGAGAAAATGTTTTTCATGAGATAAACTCTGGAAAAATAGTGAGCGTGCCACTGCTTAAGGTGATTGCTGCTGGTAACTGTGGTTAAAGCCTGATAAGTGAACCATTCCTGGCTATGTTCCACCAATTTCAAGCTCAGGTTTCAGCCCAATATTCATATTAATTTGATGACTCAACATTTCCACTTCCTCTTTATTATTTCTGTATACCTTCATATATATATATATATATATATATATATATATTTTATTTTTTTTATTTTTTTATTTTTTTTTGTTAAAATAAATGCAGCTTTGGTGAGCAGAAGAGACTTCTTTTAAAAACATTTAATACATATCTTAATTTATTTTATTTTTTTTCTTTTTTTTTTCTTTTCTGCAATGCTGATCTATTTCTATACCTGCTTGTGCTCCCCCATACCCTAATTATTCACAACACATTCTACTTATTTTCCCTCATCAATACTTGTTTATACGGTCAATAACTATTTTGGCTGGCTTTTCACAAACATGAATAGCAAAATAACATCAAGTAAAATTGTCAAATAATGTATTTCATAAGAACAGACAAAATCATTTTCATCTTATATACACCAGTAATTACCTTGAGATTTCCTTTGGTGGTAAATGCCCGTCCACAGATGGTGCAAGCAAAGGGCTTTTCTCCCGTATGGGTTCTCTCATGGATTTGCAGGGCACTGGAGGAGGAAAATGTCTTCCCACAAGTGGTACAGTAGTGCTGCTTAGGCGTCCTCCGTGGTGGGGCAGCCGAAAGTACTGGAGAGGTGGAAGCAGATGAGGTCACCAGTGCTGAGGTCAAGTCTTTTACTTCAGGTAGAAGACCATGCAGAAAGCCGTTGACCTCAGTATTCATCATAGAGGACAAGGGTCCAACAGACAGAAGGGATGGAGTTGGGCTGGAGGCAAGACTGGTGTTAGGCTCAAAGAGCTGGGAGGGCAAATCTCGCATCTGGTGGGTCAGCACATGTTGCTTCAAGTTCCCCTTGGTGGAAAAGCCCCGGATGCATACTGTGCAAATGAACGGTCTCTCTTTGGTATGGCTTCGGTAATGGATGTCCAAGGCACTCTGGCAGGCAAATGTTTTGCCACAAATGTCACATGCTGTATTCTTCAAGATGCCTCGATCACGGAAGGGGAAAAGCATACTAAGAGGATCTTTTGATGAGTCAATTGAAGTAAGATCCAGAGCTCCAGGACTGGCAGAATGAGACTGCATGAGACCCACTCTAATGTGGTCTAATGACAATGCCCTCTGCTGCCGATCCTCCAGACTAGGAGACTTTTGCTGTTGGATAGTACCATTAGAGGGTGATGGAGCTTGCATGGAAGAGGTAGATTCAGAGACAGCTGGACTTCCGGCACTTTGGCTTTCGATGTCGCCTCCAAGTGAAGAGGAGTCATTTGTGAGTCTGTCTCCTTCCATTACTCCGTTCTCCACTGACTTTCCTTGATCAAAGTACACTTCATCTTCAGCTCCCTGGTTGGCCCTCTTCTCCTGGCTCTCCACGCCTAATGACTCTTGTGGAGTAGGGGATGAACAGAGGCTGTCTTGAGATGCATCAGCTGACTTTGGTGTGTCTGGAATGCTGCTGTCTGGTCCATCATCAATTCCTTCCATGTTTTCATCGGAGAAGTTGTCCAGATCATCAAAGTTTCTCTCATCAAATGAACCAGCATCGGATCCCATGGATTCTGGATAGTTGTCAGGAAGAGGGGTGTTAGGGATCTGTCCACCCATGTGCATGCGAATGTGCTGCTGAAGTACAACAGCATTCGTGAACTTCTTCTGACAAATAGGACAAGAATGCTGGACCCTCAGTGGCGGCATAGCTCGATGGACACTGTAATGAGTCTTGAGGTTGCCCTTGGTGGTGAAGGCACGGCCACACACTTTACATTTGAAAGGCCTCTCCCCGGTGTGTATGCGGTAGTGCATTTTGAGTGCACTCTGGCAACTAAGAACACGGTGGCAGATAACACACTCATTAGGGTCTGTCACTTTCCTGTCGATGTTCTCAACGAGTTGCTGAAGCTTAGATGTTTCTGAACCTTGGAGAGGATCAAGGAGACCCCCAAAAGGAAACTTAGCTTTGAACTGTTCTGACATCAGGGGCATGAGTGGGTTAGTGGCCATTGGAGGGCTGTTGGAGGTGGTGTACTCAATGGTACCCTCCACCGTAGAGCTCATGTTTGTCGTTAAACTGGATGAACGGTTGATTTCTTCAACTTTTTCATTTGAGGTAGGCAGGATTGTGCTCTCACCTTCTTCCAACACACTATCTGTGTTCTTCATGGGTGCATCAGCAGAACCTGAGTCGCTTTTAGCAGAATGAGAAGGGCTGCTTATAGCCACTGAGCTATTATCTTCCTTCTTGATGAATGGAGGCAGGCTTGGTATAGTTGGTGGAAGTAACATGCCAACAGAAGATGTCAGAGTCGACAGAACAGGTTTACTATCCAGCCAGCTAGTCACTGGCTTCTCAGGAGGCATAGACATACCATAGGGAATGCCAGTACTCGTAGGAATATTGTCTAGATGCTCTGGGACAGGATATGGGTTCATATGAATGTGTGGATACTTCTCTTTATGACGCTGAAAATGAACTTTCAAGTTACCACGGGTGGAAAACCGGTTGCCACATATGTTGCATTTGTATGGTCTCTCACCTGTGTGAGAACGTAAGTGAATCTGCAAAGCACTGTCACTACCAAACACCTTGCCACAAAACCTGCACTTATGCTTGAAAAATGTATCCTCAGAGCTACTCTTCGGTTCAAAAGAAGAGACATTAGGTGGCTTGCCTTTTCTTTGCTGAGCAAGTGCAGCCAGTGAGTTGAGATCCTCAACTGTAGTACCGACACTGGGCAGTGCACTGGAAAATATTGGGTTGCCTGGTGGGGGCTGAGGTAGAAGGTTATTAGCCACAGGATTCAAAAGGCTTCCCATTGCAAAGGCTGGTGTGGATGACTTTGCAATTGATGGATTTCCTAACTGTGGATGCAAGCTTCCTGCATTACCTGGCCTTTTGTCTGAAGGTTGGGCATTAACTGTAACTGGCCCTGGTGCTCCAAGGTTTTGAGATGACTCTCCCACACTGGAATTGTTCTGAGGTAGCTGCACAACATTAGCCATCTGTTTCAAACTGCTAATGCTTGCAGACTGGCTAGCTATGCTCTGTGCTAACCCTGCAGCAGCTGCCAACTGTTGAGACAAATGGGAACTAAGAGTGGTTAGTGGGCTAGTACCTGAACCTAAAGTCACATGGGAAGAATTAGGCGGTGCTTGGAGCTCAGGTGACTGTGAGGCTAGCAGAAGAATCTGGTGACGAATCTGCTCGATGAGCTGTAGCTGATGGATCTGTTGCTGCTGTAGGGCCAAAAGCTGCTCCATGAGGGCTGGCACAGCCACCCTTTGCCCTCCTGCTCCTCTGGTCTCTTGAGAAAACTGGGCAACAGCCACTTTGGTGCTTTGTAGGTTTTCAATAATGACGTTGCTGTTGATCTTGGAAAAATTGCCCAGCTCAGTCAAGTTACCCAGCTGAGGTAGTGAGGCAGAGATGGCAGAGATGACAGAGTTCCCCAGATTGGACCCAGTGCTGCCCAGAGCTCCATGGCTGCTTCCAACACCACTGAGTGGGCTGCCACCTGCCATACATCCACTTCCATCATTATGAGGTGCAGAGACTCCTGACATCTCAGTGTCCATGGCTTCCTCTTTGTCAAGTACGTTCTGCTCCAAAAGGTCAGTCAACTCTGCTTGATCTGTGTTATTAGTTGTATCATTCATCTGCTCATCAGGATTATGAGGAGAGGAGCCTGGGGAGAAGGTTCCGGAAGGAGACACTGGATTTTCATTCACAATTAGAACTAATTGATTCTTAGTGCAATTCTTCTGGTGTTGTTCAAGATCCGATAGTTCAAAGAACTCTGCGCAACATCTGCTGCAGACATGGGCGCCCGAGTCTTTACAGGGGGAGTCGTCCGGGTTGGTCTCTGCGTCCCCTGCAGAGGAAAATAAGAGGGGGGAACATGGGGATTATTGAATAGAGACGTTTTGTATCTAAAGAAGCAGCTTTATCTGTTCAGATTCTTTTGTTGTTAATCTTCTGTTAATCAGTTTAATGCTTATCCCCCTCATACGTTCAAAAAAACCCATCATAAAATAAACAAATACCAAATAACACCAAGAAAAAGGCCTCCACACTATGTAGAGCTATGATGAAATAGGATAAGAAAAGAGACAAAATCAATAGCACTTTTACAATATTGCTTAAAAGTGATCTTTGAAGATGTGTATCAAAGTCCCATCAATTCAACCACCTTAGGTAATCATTTTCTTCAGATAATCCATCAAAACATAAAAATACTATGAACTGAGAACAATGGGCCCTAATTAAATTTCATAGAGGGCCATTGATTTCCAATATTTCATACTCCTCAATGTCTACATGTCCACTAGGCACAAATCAACCATTTGAAGGACTTATTAGACTTTCAATTTGCTGTCAACTTTGCTCATTTTCAACCAACTGCAGGCATCTTGGACAGGTTATCCCTGTCACTAAACTAATTTGTATCCAGTCAGCCTGCAATCAGGATCTGACAGGAACAAGTAAGCCTTTGGCATTCAGATTGCTACGCACTCTACAGGAGCACAGAAATTCACTCATACCAGGCTAAGAATGAATGAAGTAATTGCATGATCATCTCATTACATTATTTGGAATACTAAATAATTATTCAATCAGTAGGAACATTTGTAACTATTTTTAGGTGATTGTTTATGCAGCATTTTCAATGCAAGCATATAAATACAAAAAAGTAAAATATTACTGAACATTTGATTAAGCAAGAAACTCTTTGCTTTATTAAACAAGTGTAAGTGTACAGTAATAATATCACATGCCAGAACACGTGATGATTTTTATTTAAATTATACAGTGGAACAGGTTGAAACTTCTTCTTAAAAATAAACCATAAGCACTTGCAAAAGAAAGCGAAAAAAAATGTTCTGTTCCCTCCCTCCCTTCTTTTAGAGCTGTGGCCTTTCTCCAGTTTCCTCATTCTTTCTCACCCCACCTCCTCTCTTTTTGTCCCTCAAAAATCATGCTGTTTAACATACAAGTTGATTTACAAATTGCAATTCTCTATGAGTCCCACTCATTGTGGGGCTTCGCTCTCAACATTTTCATCATCGTGGAGATTCATTTGCAAATGAAACCCCTGCAAGAAGTGTGTCCCAGCCCTGTGGAGAGACAGGATGGCTCCCCATTGTTCCCCAGCATGGGAGTGTCAGAGCAGGGGAGAGGGGCGAGGACCCAGCCTGCTCATCACGGCTGGCTCTAAAGCAGATCCTGTTTAATTCAGGGATTATCTTCCCCCTGTGTCTCTCTGAGCTGGAACATCAGATAACGTTAAAGTTGCCATGACAGTAAAGCCGTGTCTCACACAAACGATGTGTTGCCCAGACGGGAAAAAGTCGACCTTTTTGATGAAAAAGTTTTAATATTAAAAGTATGTTGAGTTAAGGGTAATGAAAGGGAAAAATTTAATTTAGTGCAGGATAGGTAAAAAGATTACTTGGGAAGAAATTAAGGATTGATGTTTAAATCACATCACATTGCTTATTAGAACAAATTATTAATTTGTTTTCAGAAAATTATATATATATAACTGATATTAATAGTTACAATAATAATGATGCACACTAACAGTTGCTGGTTTATTTACAGTCATATAATGTAATGACAATTCAGTCCAAAAATGAAACTATTTAAATGTATTCAGTGCAACCTGTTGAAGACCTTTGCTTTTGGTTAGCAAATTTCAGTCACTTCATCTCATCACAAAATAAAAATACTAACAAAATTTATTCTCGCTTCCTCAGTAAATATGTGCCGCAAGAGACTAAAATATGAACAACAGCAAACATCTTTGGAATGAATCCAA